TATGTGTAGATAGATGCCATTTATATACACATATATTTGTGTTTATGTATATGTTTATTTATTTATCATTTTTGTTTATTTATCTAAAATGTATGTGCATGGAGATAGAACAGCTTGAGATAATAAGTAAATAATCAAAATGGATGTAACTATTACCTCAGCACACATGGATGCATATAAATATACACACAGACACATACACATACATATACAGTGTGTGTATGCATGTATATATGTATATATATAGATTATATATGTATATATGTAAATATATATGTATATTTATATATATATATATATATATATATATGTATATTTATATATATATATATATATATATTCATATATATATATACATATACGTGAATACAAATAGACATGTTATGCAGTAACTGAAGCTGTCATTTATAATGCTGAAGTATAACTTACGTGAGTGTAGATGCGTCCTGGGACAAACCAGAATACTAACTGATGGATAATTTCACCTTATATACCTCTTGAAGGCCATCTAACGGTCGGCATGTGCACTAGCGCCATATGCAGATCTGTTTACTCACCTCGTAGGGCTGATTAAGACGTTTCATTTAAGCATTAAGGTAATTAAAACCTTTTTGAAATATGTATGGTCTTTAGACGTAAATAGCCGTTACTTTCTCTTTCTCTCACACACACACATATATATATAAATTATATGTATGTATGTTTTTCATTCATACCTCAGAGTTTTAGTTGCTTTAATGTTTCAGAAACTTCTGAAGAAAAACTTCTTAAACAGCTTTTCGAAGAATCCAAAATGGTAGGTGTGCAAACAGATCTGCAAAGGTGCTAGTCCGCATGTCGACCGCGAGATGTCCTTCAAGAGGCGAAAATGTCCATCGTTTAGTATAGTCTGCGCAAAGAAAAGAAATAAACAGAAAAAAAACTTCGAGTTGCAATTCTACTTCACCACGCTTCTTAGGTCCACAAGCAAGCGAAAGAGATGGGGATGTCCAAAACCACCACAGACGCAAAAAAATAGGTCAGCTATTTTTAGTAATAAATCTGAATGCCGAATGCGTCTTGACATAGAGGGAGTCAAATCAAGCAAATATTGCCAATCAAAGCCTAGATACCAAACCTGCTTGATCGCATCCTGCACCAAATCCAAACGGTGATTTGGCCTTTCCACCCCCTCGTTATGTACAGATATACATATGACAGTCACTGGTCCAGCAGTGCATATACATTGTCCATATACATGTGTGCGTGTGTTTATGTATATACATAAAGATATATAGATAAATAGATGAATATAGATAAACATATAGATATATTACCATTAAACAGTAAACATAGAAGCGATTACTGATAATATTATCTTTTTTACTAAATTTTGTAAAGACACATCAGTACGTCAACAAATGGGCTTTTGTTAGTGGCTATACTGGAACGACCATCATGAACACCGGCGGGTGGCCATCCAGTCGCCAAACTTCGCCATGACTACAACACCGGCTACAGGTGATCTCAGGCTTAAAATTAGATATTATCTAGTATCTGTATTTGCATTTATGTTTACGCTTCATTGTAAAGCTAATGTCATCCGCTCTTTTAATGTTTTCTATAATGCTAGTACTCTATATTCAGATAACAATATCTATGTTGTTTTTTAACGTTTCATAAATGAGTTTCTTCAATTTCTATTGATAGCCAGTGTCATCCACTATCCCCCTCCCCTTCAATCCTCGGTTCCCCCAAGACCGTTGAGTAGAAGAAATATGTAAAAAAAATGATAATTTTGGAACTTAGAGTGTCTTCTGTACACGCCATAAAGGTTAATCTGGCTTAAAGTTTAAGCCAGATCAGTGGCGGATTTAGGGGGGGGGGAACTGGGCGTAGTTGCCCCCTTCCCTCGCTGCTCTGTAACTAGCCTGGCGCCCCATATTGGAACAGCGGCGCCCCTTTCCTATGAAATGACATTTTATATACTGATGAGGAACCTCATGGGCTACATCGTTCTCGGATCATCCAAAAACGAAACACACAATCGGCAATTATCATTCTCAGTGTCAAATCATTATAAAACAAATCATAAAACATAGAATGACAATCTTTCTCTGTCGAGGTAGTGGCAGGGTATAAAATGTAGCATGGTTAAAACTCTCCATTTTCAAACCACTCAAAGTGATTTCATACAGCAACATAGTGATGGTACAATATCAATCAATTACCCAAAGTTTATAAGCGCCTCCCTTTATCAACTGACCCCCTTTCAGAATAGTTCTGGATCCGACCCTGAGCCAGATCTCAAATGCGCATGCACAGTGGCACCATCCAGGATTAGATTTAATTCACCTCCAGACCAGGATTTACTTTTGAGCCCAAAAATTAATCCTCCACATGCGCAGAACAAGCTAGTTAATCCTACTAGTCATGTATATGAGTTGAGTTGTCATTAATATTTATAGTATGCAATAATGAAACAAATTCTAACATTTTCATGTCAAAGATTGTGAAAATTCATCAATATACATTTTTTATAAATTGTAGGATGTAACTTATACAATATATTAATCAAATTTTAAAAATGTTTTCAATAACATCACAATCAGGTTTCAAAGTAAAACCTTTGTAATTCTTAAAATTATAGTGACTTCAAAAATGTGTGGACATTTGTTATCATGATCTTCGCTAGCAACACCCTGGAAAAATACCCTACCTGTGCCTCGCAATCACACACGAGAAACAGCTCCCAGAGAAATCTTCCACGAATATAAAGTGATATTACGAGTAACTCATTTTTGTTTGACACCTTCATTTCGGCTGTCTATAATATTTATAGGCTATTTGAAGCCATTTTTATCATTTTATTTGTACTGACACAGATATATATCAGCATGATTTAATACTAGCGTATATGTGTATATATTTTTTTCCTCTGTTGCAAACGTTTCCTTATCGACATCAGCACATAATATGAAACTTGTAGAGGATGAATGCTTATTGCCATTACACAGATACCCACTTTTTCATGTAAAACTGCAGATTTACTGATAATCGGCTGTCAGTGTTTTGCATCTTCTGTACAAGTACTATGGATTTAGATTAACTTCCAAGCAAAAATAAGGATTTCAGAAACAGGCATATAGACTGTGTCACCTCAATCGCATAATTATTATTGGTTCAGACAAACCGGTTAAGGATCCTACCACACTGCCGTGGGGATTTACATCGCGTGTTTAATGACAAGCCATGAAGCTAACAAAAACCAAACAGTGAGCTGTGGAATAATTAGTCATTCATTGTATAGATTGTATTCATTGTTATGTTTCGCAGAGATGATCAGATATGTTTGTGAATATTGAATTTTTATATTTTTAGGTTTCGTATTAAGTACAGGGGACAGAACATAAATCCGTGGCGGTTAGGCTAAGTTGTTCTTGAAAAGTATATTCCTCTAAAACGGTAAACTTTGACATAAAAAGATCCTGCCTTATGAGTTTACTTGCATAGGAAATACAGAACTAATACTCCCGATGGGCGGGATTTTTTTTTTACCATTTACGCAGGATGAAACTTGGGTTCATCACTATGATTAAGAAACATTCTTTCTCATCCTCCCTATACTCATGGCTTTGCACAATCTGGCTTTCACTTTTTTTCCCATCCATGACGTATTTCAAGGGCAAACGTTTCTAAGATGATAAGAAACTTTCTGAAGTCACTTCATGACTTCAACAAGGAGTCCACAGCTGCATAAAACGATGGGAGAAGTGTATCACTCTTGTTGGGGCCTATGTAGAGAAAGACTAATAACTGTACGACGTTTCAATCCTATACGTCCATGGAAAGTATATAACCTATATAAATGCATATACATATGCATACATATATGCAAATACATATACACAATATATATATATATATATATATATATATATATATATATATATATATATATATATATATATATATATATATATATATATATATATATGTATATATATATATATATATATATATATGTATATTATATATATATATATATATATATATATATATATATATATATATATATGTAATATATATATATAATATATATATATATATATATATATATATATATATATATATATATATATATATGAATATATAAATGTCGGTGTGTATGCAAATTTGTGTATGTTTACATACACATACACATATATCTGTGTGTACATATATATTATATAAATACATACATATATATATATGTGTGTGTATATATATATATACACATAATTTAAATATATATGTATATATTTATGGGAGGACGTATATATGCAAATATGATTGTGTGTATATTCATATGTGAATATATGTATTGGTCTTGTTTCATTTTATGAGCGTATTATAGTTCCTTCTTCGTCAATTGTATTTTGATAGACACCGTGATGTAAGGAATTAGTTTCCCCTACTTACTTTACGTTTTCTATAACTACAATGAGATACTTTCATTTTCTTTGAACGTCGAAAGTGAGAATAGACTATCTTAAATAGTCCTAATTTAGCTCATGCATTTAGAATTCCACGTGCTAAACAGGGTATTATGTAATGAAATTAGATAAATAGATAAACGATTTTTTTCTTTTGTTTTTCATTTTCTTAACCATTGTTTCGTTTTTTTCTTTCTTTCTTTCTTTTTCTTTCTTTCTTTCTTTTTTTTCTGAGCTACTAGATGTAGTTTTCAGCTAATCTTATTTGCACATTAGTAGACAAGTTTGCATAAGTCTTCATTATTGAAGAGGGAATTGATATAAACAAAAATCATATGTATCATATTTTAATGGACAAGACGTTTCCATTCCAGCAAATATATGATACTAAGAAGTTTGTTGAATATGTTTCATCTTGGATTTACGTGAAATGATCTTGCAAAGTAGTAGTTACAGGCACCGCTGAGGAAAGTATTGTTGCTCTTAGTTGTTACTGATCAGAATGGCAGTTGCAGTGGTGGTAGATGTATCATTATGTAATGCAATCTAGCAGACTGGAGTGGTCGGTGTTGTAGTTGGTGTAGTGGTAGTCGGAGTTGTTGTGGTGGGAGTTGTGGTTGTAGTAGTGGTAGTTGGCGTAGTTGTGGTGGGGGTTGTGGTTGTAGGTGTTGTTGTTGTAGTAGTGGTAGTTGGGGTAGTAGTGGTAGGTGTGGTTGTCGTTGAAGTGGTGGTGGAGGTCGTGGTGGTCTGTTCGCGGCACCAGATGTAGCAGCGGAAGCCAGGGGCGGTGGTGGCGGCGTTGCTGGCGAAGGTGAGGCGCGTCCACCCGTCGGAGGTGATGGTTCCGTCGGGACTGTCGGTGCCGCATTTCCTGCGAAAGGAAATGAAAGTAAACAAACTGATTCGAGGAAACGAAACAAAACCACGGATTTCATTAGTCAAAAGGCCCAAATAACTTACTCTTCGCGAGAGCCATGGTAAGTCACCACCAGACGGTCATTGAGGCAGTCGGTAGAGGATTCCAGTTCGAAGGTAGGACAGATGAACTCCAGGTAGGTTGACTCCATGGGGTTGCAGGTGATCTCGTACTGGCATCTGTCGACATACACAAAAGGTAAAGGAAATTGCGAACACTGACACCAGTTAATGAGATCTGTTTTGGATAGCACGTACGTGTGAGAAAAGAATCACCTGTAATCTGTGTCGTAGTTTTGGGGGAAGTTGGGCGACTGGATGGCCACTCGCTCACCGGGGTTCATGGTGGTCGTTCCGCAGGGCAGCGTCTCCAGGCGTGGCTCGGGGAACACGGCCCCGCCCACCGCCGCCACCACGCCCAACAGCAAAAGTCCGGTTGCTGACATACTGAAGTTCCTTTAGAATGAGAGAGAAAGATCATTTTAAAAGTAGGTAGATATTATGTATATGTGTATGTATATATATGTAATATATATATGTGTGTGTATATACGAGTATATGCACACACAAATATATTTATACATATACATATCTATGTGTGTATGTATATACATGTGTGTGTATATATATCTGTATGTGTAGATAGATATCATATTTATATACACATATATTTCTGTGTGTGTATATATATGTTTGTTTATTTCTTCTTTTTTATTTTTTTTATTTTTTTTATTTAAAATGTACGTGCATGAATAAAGAACAGCTGGAGATAGTAAGTAAATAATTAACAAATGGATGTAACTATTACCTCAACATACATGGATGCATACAGATATACACACAAACACACACGCACATATATATATATATATATATATATAGTGTGTGTGTGTGTGTGCATGTGTATATGTATATATGTATATATTTATATATATGCATTTATGTAAATATATATGTGTATATATATATTCATATATATATACATATACGTGAATACAAAAAGACATGTTATGCAGTAACTGAAACTAAAACCTTTCTCGAGTGGGTATATATACTTACACCATATACAGTAAATCGTCTTAGCCTTCGCCGATAGCGAAATTTCTCTATTTCTTAAAGTTAACGCATGAACATGAAGATAGCAGCTGTCATTTATAATGCTGAAGTATAACTTACGTGACTGTAGATGCGTCCTGGGACAAACCAGCATACTAACTGTTGGACAATTTCACTTTATATACCTCTTGAAGGCCATCTAGCGGTCGACATGTGCACTAGCGCCATATGCAGATTTGTTTACTCACCTCGAACAGCTGTTTCCTTTAAGCATTAAGGCAATTAAAACCTTTTTTGAAATATGTATGGTCTTTAGAAGCAAATAGCCGTTACTCTCTCTCTCTCTCTCTCTCTCTCGCATACATGAAAATGCAAAAACACAACAAAACAAAATGTTGTATGTAATATATAGTTTATGGTGCATTTATGTAGGATACCATGCTGCAGGCAGATGCTGCAAAGATGCAAAGATTTCAATACATACATAAATATGTATACATATATAAACATGCATACTTTGTATATGTATATACATATTTATATATATATATATATATATATATATATATATATATATATATATATTCTCGAGTGGGTATATATACTTACACCATATACAGTAAATCGTCTTAGCCTTCGCCGATAGCGAAATTTCTCTATTTCTTAAAGTTAACGCATGAACATGAAGATAGCAGCTGTCATTTATAATGCTGAAGTATAACTTACGTGACTGTAGATGAGTCCTGGGACAAACCAGCATACTAACTGTTGGACAATTTCACCTTATATACTTCTTGAAGGCCATCTAACGGTCGACATGTGCACTAGCGCCATATGCAGATTTGTTTACTCATCTCGAACAGCTGATGAAGACGTTTCCTTTAAGCATTAAGGCAATTAAAACCTTTTTTGAAATATGTATGGTCTTTAGAAGCAAATAGCCGTTACTCTCTCTCTCTCTCTCTCTCTCTCTCTCTCGCATACATGAAAAGGCAAAAACACAACAAAACAAAATGTTATATGTAATATATAGTTTATGGTGCATTTATGTAGGATACCATGCTGCAGGCAGATGCTGCAAAGATGCAAAGATTTCAATACATACATAAATATGTATACATATATAAACATGTATACTTTGTATATGTATATACATATTTATATATATATATATGTATATATAAGTGTATGTATGTGTGTATGTATGTATGAATGTATATATGTGTGTACCTATATATGCTCGTAAGTATATACATGTATATATATGTGTGTGTGTGTGTGTGTGTGTGTGTACATATACATATATATACGATTATATAAACTTATTCTTACATTTATGTGCATTTAGATGTATGATATATATAAACACACACGCGCGCGTGCGCACACACACACATACACATGTATATATGAATCATATGTATGCACGTTTTTCATTCATACCTCAGAGTTTTAATTGCTTTAATGTTTGAGTGAAACTTCTTAAACAGCTTTTCGAGGAATCCAAAATGGCAGGTGTGCAAACAGATCTGCAAAGGTGGTAGTGCGCATGTCGACCACGAAATGCTCATAATTTAGTATAGTCTGCGCAAAGAAAAGAAAAGAAATACACAGAATTTGTTTTCTTCTCCCTCTTTATCGGCTCTACTTCACCACGCTTCTAAGGTCCACAAGCAAGCGAGGGAAATAGGGATGTCCAAAATAAAGTCAAATAAAGCAAATATTGCCTATCAAAGCCTAGGTACCAAACCTGCTCGATCGCATCCGGCACCAGATTCAAACGGTGTTTTGTTTTTTTGTGTGTGGGTGTGAGTGCGCATATATATATATACATACATATACATATTCATATATAAACGCATGTGTGTGTTTTTTTAGTAATACCTATCCTTATATCTGTAACAATCACTCTCTCTCTCTATATATATATATATACACATATATCTGTGTGTGTTTATGTGTGTATATATATGTATATATACATATATATGTATTATACATATATTATTTATATATAATATATATAGAGATATATCTAAAAAGATATAGATATTACCATTAAACAGTAAATATTTACGCGATTGCTAATGGTATAATATTTTTTACTCCAGCAACTGGAATTTTGTTAGTGGCCATAGTGGACACGCTACCCTACGGAACGACCGCCATGAACACCGGCGCCAAACTACCCCAGGACAACCGACTACAGGTGATCTCAGGCTTAACATTAGCTACTTATTCAGTTAACAATTTTCTGCCGGGTTACTGGACATTCTTCTGTCCGTCTAGTCTTTGCATTTTCCGTTACGCGGTATGCCTTTGTCTTAGACATGTACTTCTGTTGCAAAATAAATTCGAAGTAGAGGAAAATTGTCTCCTGCACTCAGCTGTCTTGCCAAACGTCAGCCCTTATCGGACTCGTGTACATAACAAATGGGCCAAGCCTTCATTCATGTATATGCCGTCATGTGCCAGTGCGAGATCACCTGCAAACCCATGGAGTCTACCTACCAGGAATTTATCTATCCTTCCTTTGAACGGGAATCCTCCACTGACTGCCTCAATGACCGCCTGGTGGTGATATGTCATGGCTCTCCGCTTATCCTAGGAAGCTGAAATTTCACATGCTTAATGATACACATCTCTATGGGTCATGTGTTTATATCCTTAACTAAAATGTTTTTTGTTACTGTTGTGAAGATGCAATAAGGTTTGAAAATGGAATCAGTGGAGTATGGAGGAGTAAAAAAAAATTATAGGGGGGATGCCCCAATATATGACATTGTTAAACATTGGCATCGTCAGTTTAGGTGTGGTCGGAGATCTATGGAAACGGCCCCTATCCCAGAGCGACCACGTCTGTCATTGATGACATTATCCATCCATTTTGGAAAATCGTCTTTTACTGTTCGTTAGCTAACCCAATATATCAAGATGCAAAAATTGCCTGCTCGATGAGCTCCCAGGCAACTTACATTTCTCCCTCCAGAAGCAGGAACGAGTCCATCGTTCCAAGACTCTTTCAGCAAGTGCCAAGAAAACCAGGGTGATTTTTTGACAGACTAATTACACAGGTTGAAACTTGGGACCATCACCATATTTCAGAAACTAAGGACCAGTAAAAACAATGAAACCACTGTGATTCACCTCTCCCCACCCACCCCCACCCCCCCAAAAAAAAAAAAAAAAAAAGTACGTGCCACACCCTCTGTTCAGTCTTTTGGGATCAGCACTAAGTAGTGGTGATGGATTTCCTAACAAAAGGTACTACAATTATAGGAGGTTACTGTGCTTCACTGCTACAGAAACTGTGGGAAGCTATGAAAACCAAGAGGCGCGGAATATTGACCAAAAGTTTCTCCCTTCTACAAAACAACTCACAACTCTCACATTGCCTAGATGGAAGCACGTGTGTGTGTGTTTATATGTAAATACATGTATATATGTGTACAAATAGGTATATGCGTGTATGTGGAGGGTAAATATTTACTGGTTAAACCAAAATGCAGTCGGATTATCTCTGTGTCCATTTGTCTAACTTTTTTCTCGCCTACTCTTCTGATGAAGCATTGTAACAAAATGCCAAAATAAAACAAGGTCTTACAATGTTTCGTACGGTTGTCTGAAGCTGCATGTATAAACCCCATATACTTCCTTCGTCAACCGTATCTTAATGGTAAGACACCGTGATGCAAGGAATTAGTTTCCCCTATTTACTTTACATTTTCTACAACTTCAATTAGATACTTTCATTTTCTTTGAATATCTAAAGTGCGGATAAACTATCTTAGATAGTCCTAATTCGGTTCGTCCGTTTAGAATTATTTAGAATATATATACATATATATATTGTGTATGTGTGTATGCATATATATGTATGCATGTATGTATGTGTATATATACATATGTATACTGAACTAATAGACGTATTTTTCAGGTAATTTGATTTGTATATTAGTCGATAAGTTTGCATTTGACTAATATAGTAAAGAGGAAACTGACATAAATAAAGGCCATGTATATATTTGGTTGGACAAGGCGCGTCCATTCCAGTAAATATATATATATAATACTAAAAAGTTTGTTGAATAAGTTTTATCTTGGATTTACGTGAAATGCTCTTGCAAAGTTGGAGCAGTTGTAGGCATCGTAGTGGGAAGTATTTTTGCTCTTAGTTGTTGCTGATCAGGGGTTCATTTGTAGCAGTGGTATATGTAACTCTATACACACATCTAACAGACTGGAGTGGTCGGTTTAGTAGTTGGTGTAGTGGTAGTCGGCGTAGTTGTTGTGGGGGTTGTCGTTGTAGGGGGTGTAGCTGTAGTAGTGGTAGTTGGGGTAGTGGTAGTGGTAGATGTGGTTGTCGTTGAAGTGGTGGTGGAAGTCGTGG